TTTTGTGCGTTTTAGAATATTTTAAATATTACATCCTATTTAAAATATTTTATTTAAGTCGAACAGAATCTGAGATAGTAAATATTTTGAAATATTTATTACGCAAAATATTACCCAAATCTAGTTGTAGCTTAGATGGAAAATCTTTTACACTTCATAAAAAAATGATCCTCATCTATTATATTACTTATAGCTAACTTAAAATTTAATAAATTTAACTAATTTAATGAATTTAACTAATGCAAAATTCTGGATCATGGATCGGACATTCAAAATAATACATTTTTTAAGCAATTATCCATGATATTGTAGGAGAATCGGAAAACGTGAAGTCAATTTCATTTATACTCTCCTGTCACCGAAACGGCAAAAGATTTATAAACTATTATTTGATAAAATAATTTATTTGAGTAATGAAATAGATTGCGCCTTGAATCCTAAATTTGTATTAACAGATTTTGAAATATCAGTTTAAAATATATAAATAGAAATATAATATATAAATAGATAAATGCTACAAAATAAATTACTTTTTCCTTTTGCAGAACTGAAAGGATGTTTCTTTCCATTAATACGAATCTATGTATCGTAAAGTGGGAAAAAAGTGGTTTAGTAAAATGATATAGAACTGATGAAGACTTTAGTCTGTTAATTAAACAAAATAACGTGTCTCGCTTTTTCATAATCCTCCAAGATTGTAGATTGCTTTAATAATCTAAAACAATCATTCTCAAATGAAAATGAAATCAAAAATTATTAAATGATTTGACAGTTATGATAACTATATATATAATATAGCGTCCAACATAGATGAAATAACATATTCGTGATTTATTTTCCATGGTTTCCACCTAAAATACGGTTTGTACGAGACAATGTTGTAAACGATTTTCCAAGAACACAAAATTTTATTGAGTCTTAGCATCGATGATGGCAGTCATTACTTGGTCATTATAACGTTGAAATATTTAACCTAATTAAAGATATATAAAAATAACAAGAATATTACAGAGAATTTCATAGAAAAATATTTTCGAGACGATCCTTTCTAAAAACAAGGAAGAAAAGATCGTATAAAGGGTAAGAACAGAATAAACCGTGTATTTTGTAATCGTCAAATTTAACGTACTGATTTAAACTTTGTAAAAGCATATAATATTTCTTTATAAATCAAAGAAATAGACTTACATCAGTAATTGACTTAATAATACTCATTACTAATAACATACAAAATAAAATATAATGCGTTTTCTTTTTTGACGCGTCCCAGCTGCAGGAAAAGAGAGCTAGCCAAGATTATCACCAAGGATTAAGTGACGTGCAACCTTTCGGCACGTAGATCCGGTTCTAATCACGATGTACCTCTTGTTGTTGAAGCGTTTTAATTTTATTTTGAGTCTAAACGGAAAGCCGAATGAGAAGCTTGATCACCAGGAATAAGGTGGATGGTTAAAGAGACTCCAATTATAAGATATATATATTCTTAACTGATTTCATACAAGGACTTAATACTATGAATTTGAATGAGACGGAATTAAGATCAAGACTATGACTGAAACTGAAACTAAAACTGAGACTGAAATTAAAACTTAGAACTGTAGAACAACGAAAATTAATTGTTGCAACTTGAAGATTAACTGAACTCTCTCTCTCTCTCTCTCTCTCTCTCTCTCTCTCTCTCTCTCTGAATGTCGACGATTAACTAACTAAGTCTCTTGTAACTCTCTTGTAACTCTCTTAATGAATTTCGATGATGAACTAATTGTAAGTCTCTCTTAACTTCTATCCCCTTTTATAACATTAGTTATCAATGTGTTATGATTTCGCGTTCGGAGTGTCTACTATCGCTTGGGAACAGAATGTCAGAGATGGTGTTTATTGAATATAGTATCGAGATTCATTTTCGTTCGCCGTTTGATCTGTATCGTTCGAAGAATCAATTGGAGCTGATTGTTTCAAAAACAAAGACACGCTGAATCGCGTCAATATCCCTAAGGACTAAACAAACGTCGGTCGTCCGACGTCACAGCTATAATTTCCTACATGAAGAAGAAAGTCTTGTTGATTTCGTAAAAAACTATCAATCAATAAATAATGAATTAAATTGATAAGTGTTTACCATTTAACACATGTTGACGCTGCATAGCAAGTGATGTGTCGAAATATGTAATAATATGTAAAAATTTGTGAACAAGAAAAGTCGGTGAGAATAGAACGTCAGTAACTAGGGACTGTCTCATTGTCAGTGAAATAGAGCGTCAATAAAAATATCGTCGAGGAAGTTTGTGTCAGTCATATTGACTTATCATTTTTTATTCTTTTTCTTAAATTTAAAAACTAAGAAAATACATTAGATACAGAGTATCTCATTTGAAACATTCCACTCAATTATGTTCTAAATTATATTCGTTGTAAAAAAGAATATTTCAAATAAAAATTACTTTGTTCCGAGGAGAGCATTTTTTTATGATTTGATCGTAGATCTTATGTAGTAAAACGTACTTCGGAGGTCTCAAGGTAATCTTTGTTTTAACTAAACATATAGTCCGCTTCATGAAGAATTCATTGACTTATCACATCGGTATATCAAGAATCGTTTACTATCTTTCAAAAGTTACTTGCAATGAACCAAGATTTCATTCTTCGCAGTATTTTGCTGATTCATTTTTAAACATAATTCAAGGTCGTACTAATAATATGAATTGTCGTTACTTCTATTTATAAACAGAAGATAGTATTTGTTACTGTATGAATATTCCGAGTTTTTGTTATAATCTCCTCTCCAAAGAATCAGGATTATTGCAGTTAGTAGTACGTATTGTTCGCTTCTGTATCGATTCAATTTTGGTTTATTACACATCCAACGAAATTATTAATATCATTTAAGGAGATTATCGAGAAAATTTAAAAAAATAAGGCTACTGTACATCTCTACCGCGACAGATTTCCTACTCCGGTGTCCAAACCATAAGACTTTTCGAAAGTGTAAACTTCGTCGAGAACTCGACAAGGACATTTTGAATGACGATAGAATAGACAGTACTAAGTTTTAGAGATTATAATGTTCGAAGTTGTTGCTACGAACCTCCATATTAATAATTAACAAATAGAAAATTGTTAGACTATATCGCAATCTAGTGCATCAAGAGTATTGAAAGGACATCCAGTACTGAGTTTCCATCCTTTCCATATAATTTTGCAGCAAACATTAACCGATGCCGAGTTTGCTGTCAAATTACGTCAGTGGTCTCAGCATGAATGGCTACGTGATCCTTTTTTCTTTTCTCGTGTATTGTTTTTTCTGATGAAGCGACATTCTCAAAGAGTGGGCAAATGAATAGACATAATGCCTGGTCTGATCACAGTCTGCATTGACACCGCTCGTCAGTTAATCATCAAAATCAGTAATCTTTAAACTTTTGATGCGGCATTCTAAGTGGATATGTAATTGGACCTTATTTTTTCAATGACGTATTAACAGGAGCCCGCTAGAATGATATTATACTCAACTCCATATTCTTCTGAATGATACACCCAGAATGCACATGTGGTTTCAACACATATGGTCCCATTAAGAACAGCTGCCAAGTATGAACAACATTGAATAATATATTTCCTTATCATTGGATAGGAAGGCGAAACAAGTGTGGGAAGTCATTGGATTCGACATCTACATTTCTTCTTGTAAAGTTATGTAAATGTTTGGTGTATCAGGAAGAACACACCATCTCCGATGATACGAAAAACCGTATAATACCTGCCGACGGATTATCCCTGAAATTGGAGGAAACTATCCTTTAGAGATGGAAATCACATTGACGCATTGAAGATCATCATTTAGAAT